CTGTTCGTCTCCGAGGAGCCCAGCATGTGTCTGCCCCCTCCCGCCCCCCCAAAAAAAGGCTGTATGGCTATAAATCAGACCCGTCTCGCCAGTCCCACCTGGTGTTCCCCAGCAGAGAGAGAGTCGCTCCATCGGGGCTCCCCTAGCCAGTCCCCACTCAGGACTGGATTGTCCCCAGCAGTCGGCTCCCTCATCCTTCCCTGTGACTGGCAGCTTCTTAGGGGTGCCCCAGGCTGGGCGAGTCCTGTGCTGTCTGATGGCTGCTTTTCTTGTTTCTGCTCAGATTTACTGCCAGAACCTGTGTCTTCTGGCCAAGCTCTTCCTAGACCACAAGACTCTCTACTTCGACGTGGAGCCCTTCGTCTTCTACATCCTCACCGAGGTCGACAGGCAGGGAGCCCACATCGTCGGCTACTTCTCCAAGGTAGCACCTGGAGTCAGCTCTGGGAGGCTGGCAGCAGGATAGTGGGTTAAAGTGGAGGAAGCTGGGAGCCAGGACTCCTGGGTTCTGTCCCCAGCTCTGGGCCTGGGAATTGGAACAACCTTTTGTCAGCTTGCACCAGTCCCCCGCTGATCTGCAGTGACTGGGACCGATGGGAGCTATCTCTGAGCCCACATGCGGAACGCTGGTTCCCCTCCCTGTGCCAGTCTGGGTCCAGCCTTGCTCCCCCTCTGTCCTCCCCCACTGTGGGTAACCCTGTGTCTGTGCCTTCTCTGTGCTTAGGAGAAGGAGTCTCCGGATGGGAACAACGTGGCCTGTATCCTCACCCTGCCCCCCTACCAGAGACGGGGCTATGGCAAGTTTCTCATCGCGTTCAGTGAGTAGCCTGGCACTGGCCTTGGTTATGCTGTAGCCATGTGGGCAGTGAGTTGGTAGGTTCTCGGATTGGAGGAAGTGGCTCCCCTCTTGGACTGCCACTGAGTGAGCTCCCTGCTGCCCCCAGAAGAGGTCCCAGTAGTGGGGGGCAGGAAGGATGATCCTTGTCCTGAGACACTGTCCCTCCCCAGCCTCTGTGCACACAGTTCCCGGAGGGGAATGCCATAGAATTCCCGCACTCCCAGGCCAGGGGCTCTGATCTCTCCCCACCCTTTTCCATGCCCGTAGGCTATGAGCTGTCTAAGCTGGAAAGCACGGTGGGCTCCCCAGAGAAGCCCCTCTCGGACCTGGGCAAGCTGAGCTACCGGAGCTACTGGTCCTGGGTGCTGCTGGAGATCCTGAGGGACTTCCGAGGGACCCTGTCCATTAAAGACCTCAGGTGAGCGAGGGAGTGGGGCTGCAGCAGGGACGCAGATGGGGGAGCACCCCCCCTTGAGCCCGGTAGAGCAGGGGTTGCCAACCAGCTAGAGATGAAGAGCCAAAATAGAAGGAGCTAGAGTATGAAGAGCCACGTATTATATATTTAGAGAGAAAGAGAGAGTGATAATTTATAAAAATAACATTGCAGGACATTTCGGACAAAACCCAATAAAAAAAGTCTCTAGTCACTTAAAAATTTCACTGCCCGTCCGTAGATCTTGACCAGGAACAAACATCAAATTAAAAAAACAAACAAAAAAAAACCCCATTAAAAATACAGTAATACTCACACTAAAAAAAAAAAAAAGCATCCCCACCTTGTATTTTCAATGTAGCACAACTGCCCTATTATGTGCTGTGACATTTTTAAAACTAAACTGAATGGAGAAGTAAATTAGCACAATTTGAAGCGCCTGTTTCACTCCAGCTTGTTGATCTCTGGGCTGGTTTCCTCTTTTTTTATTTTTTTATTTTTTTTTATGAAGATTGTGGCTTTTTTATAGTTCTAAAAATTCAGGTCTGTCCCAGACTGCAAATAGGAGAGGTTCAAAAACAGGAAGGGAGAGACTCATATGTCAGAATAATTGCTTCAGCCTGGCAAACAGTAGCCTTTGAATTTTCGTTTAAAGAAACGGTGTAAGCCAGGTACATGCTGATTCTTTTTTTGCCCTGGAATTTAAATATGGCATCTGTTGGCTGCCTTATTCTGTGTCCACAAAAACTTTTGAGTTTAAGGTGCTTCAGCGCCCCCCAATCCCCACTGTAACCCAATGCACCTCCCCTCCCCCAGAGCCAGGCACCTCCAGCCACCCCCATCCCCGTTCTAACCTAAAGCCTGAGTCTCACTGGAGCCTCCGCCATGCACTTCTCCCTCCAGGAGCTGGGGCACGTGTGCAGAGTGGCCGACCATGAGCAGTCCAGGCACCTGGCTCAGAACTAGCAAGAGCCGCATTTCTTTGAGCAAAGAGCCGCATGCAGCTTGAGAGCCGTGGGTTGGCCACCCCTGGGATAGAGCATAAGACAGAGAAAACTGTATTACCTCGCTATATAAAAGCATGGTATGCCCATGGTATGTGTTTGCCTCATCTCAAAAAAAGATATATTGGCATTGGAAAAGTTTCAAAAAGGGCAACAAAAATAATTAGTCGTGCGGCTCCAGAGCCGTGAGTCGGCCACCCTTGCTGCAGAGCCACAGCAGAATGAGGGCAGAGGGCCCCTACTGAGCCCCTGCCCTGCCTCACGCAGCACAGCACCCCTGAGCACTGCCTGGGGGTGGGTACCCCGACTCAGCCCCACGCCCGCTGCGGTGTCTTCCCATCCCAGC